CTAGACGGCGCGCCTGCCCGCCTCTGAGCCCAGGCACTGTGCCTTTTGAGTCCATTCAGGCCTCCTGGGGCACACAACTCAGCAACAGCCAGGTTGCTGGGAACTCAAGTTTTCACCTCTCTGGAGCAGGGACTTTGGGGAATTTTGACTCTATATCCCAATCCTGTTAGGGAAACACTTATTTATTCAGTTTGGGCTTCTCATTTTTTTGAAATCAAACAAATCCGTTGTCAGTTTTTAAAAAACTCATTTTAATGAAGGAACATGAATTACAAAAAGTCACCAGCCTGTCACCTATCAGGACGTCTGTGATCAATTAAAACAGAAAGAAAACAAGTTGTCAGGGAAGTGGTGAAATTGCAGGTAGAATTTGACTGGTACCGGAGGTGCGTCCAGGGGGAAACTCACCAGGATCTTGGGGTCCGGAACAGAGAACTGAGTGAGACACAGAAAAGGTAGCGAGGTACACATTCACTGAAGGGTGGTGACACATGCTCTGCAGGGACAGCATAGTTCGGGTCAGACTCCTAGCAGCTCCAGCACAGGGGCAGGGGGCTTTTGGAGCTGCAATTCCTGGACTGACTTCTTTCTCATGCAAATAAGCCTTTGGGACATTGTCCTATCAGAAATGCACTGGGGCTGAAGCCAGGTTTAAACTGCCCTATGGAAGACTTGCTTGGTTTCCTGCGGATGTAAATAAAGACTTGCAAAGAGGGCTTTTCTGATTGGTTCAGTGTGACCCGGCAGGACCCGGGTGCTTCAGGGTCATCCTGGAGCCTGTGTTCTGTGCATGTGCCCTGAGTCTCCAAGACTTTGACAGCTTCCTCCCAGCAGGTTTTCCCCAGCCCTAATCTACCTCAGTTCCCTCTGAGGGACAGAATCTCCAGTTCTTCATGGGATGCTGAGGCAGCACTGGCCTCTTCTGACAGCTGATTCCTGCTGAAAAGGCCTGCAGGCCCTACCTGCTGCTGGGGGCCTGTGCTCTCTGACTACCCTGGGATGTTGGGCTCACTGGCTGGGCTGGCAAGAATTTGCCAGAAGACAAGGAAAGGGCTGAGGATTTAGCTCTGTGGCATAAGTGCTTGCCTGGCAAGTGCAAGTTGTGAGTTCAATCACACACACACACACACACACACACACACACACACAGAGTGAGAGAATGAGAGAGAGAGAGAGACAAGGAGAGAAGAATTAGTGCCCACATGTCAGGAACTGTCAAACTGCCTGGCCAGTGGGAGAAAGCTGTAGGAGAGTCATGGACTGGATCATCATCTGAGGATGGATCTGTTGAAGCCTTCAATGGACAAATCTTACTACCAGGTTTAAGAACCAGCAGCCAAGTATGAGAAGGAACAGGTCGGAATAATTCTTGGTCTCTCTCTTGAAAAGAGTACTATGACTGAGCCAGCAAAAAGACAGTGTTTTTTCTTGCTATTATTTGAGACATTTTCTAGCAGTTTTATTTCCACGTTTCTGTGGACAGGAAAGCATTGTGAAGGGATATTAGGCTACCAAGAGCCTGAGAATGCAGCCCTGGCAAGATTACCCAGTAAAAAGCAGGAGTCCCAGTACCAGTGCCCATATAAGCTGTGGGCACAGTCAATCCTCCAGTGCCATAACTCATTCACACCAGCCACCTGCTACATGGAGCAGGGCCCCAGTAGATGCCTAATATAGTTGCATGCCCAGTGTCCAGATTCCTTGCGTTTAAAACCTGAACTCTTTCTTTGATTGGCCCTGGGTTTCCCTTGGACAACCTGGGTGTGCTTAAGCTACTGCCACTCATGACAGTACAATTTTGGTCTGCCTTTGCTGTTGGTTCCTCTCCTATTTATCCTCCTCTAGATCACGATTGAAAAGGATGAGTTTCACAATGCGGTCCCAGGGGTCTAGGATCTCATCTGAAGTTTTTTAATTTGTGCTGAACAGCTGGCTGGGGCTGACTGATAGTGAGAAACGCTGTCCCACTGGTACCTGACCTTCCTCTGGAGTCAGAACTGAGTTCATAGATTTATGGAAAGCTTCTACTAATCGACTAGGAGAGGCAGCTGGACTGTCCTCTTTGCCCTGCATGACCTCTCTCACCCTTTCATAATTAACATGTTTATTAATGCATCTTTTTATTCCCATAAGAGCAGTAATTATTTTAGACCTCATTTTCAGTCCTTCCCGTTTGCTTCTACTGGGAGGACAGTGCCTTCTCTGGGGCGACTCTGCTCTTTCCACAGCACACTGCTCATCTGCGTATGTCTTAGCCGCCTCTAGGAGTCCTCATGTTTTTATTTAGGGTGCAGAAAGTGGACAAATTGGACATCTTGCTATGCAAGGTCAAAGACAAGGGTCGAAGTCTGAAGCCCCACTTTCTTGCTTCCCGGGCCTCTTGGGGGCTGCTCTTTGTTTGGGACAGTCACCCACCTAAAGCAGCAAGATGGTGGCTGCAGAGAAGATGAAAGAGCCTCTGGAGTCCATCAGCTCCAGGCTCCAGCTTGTCATGAAAAGTGGAAAGTGCACAGTGGGGTAAAAGCAGACTCTGAAGAGTACTATGCCATGTTGGCCAAAGCTGGCGTCCATCACTACAGTGGCATAATATTGATCTGGGCACAGCATGTGAAAAGTACTACAGAGCATGCACACTGGCGATCACTGATCCAGGTCATTCCGATATCACTTGAAGCATGCAAGTACACATTGGGGAGAAATAAACCATGCAAAATTCTTCATTGATATAACTTGCTACAGCTTGTTTAAAAAAAAAATGGAAGCTCATCTCCAAACCTATTAGGATCTCCTGAAAATCGGCCTGAGTCTTCCTTGCATTTTTAGAAACCTGCCACGGAAGAGGAATGTGGACTTGAGTAGTCCCAGGTGTCTGTTAGGAGCAGGATGTGAGCTGCAAGGGCAGGAAACTCTATTCCACATGTGTCCTGTGGGGCTCCGAGCCATGTGAGGAGCAGGAGGAGGGGTCTGAGGAGTCCTGGGTCTTTCTAGGGAGTGGCAGATGGTGGAGTTTCTGAGTCACTTGAGAGGGTGGCCCTGATTTACTGGCCTGAGGATGGAAGGAGGTGGCTCAGGAGACCCCTCCTCCAGTGTGGCTGTTTTCATGAAACATGAAGGGGAGCCCCACGTCTCCCTGAGAGATAGGCAGGACCTAAGGAATCATCAGCCATCTCAGCCTCCTCTTCAGGGGTCTCTTGGGCCTTTGCAGAGGATGCTTCCAGATAGAACCATGAAAACCTGGACAGACGGGACTTTAGTCCACTTTCCTTGACTTTTATGAGGAAGATCTAACTGAAGAAGAGCATTATAACTTATAGACTGCTGTTCTGTGCTCATCTCTGGCCATTTCTGAGTTGATGTGGAAGCCAAACAGTACTGCCATAGAAAGTAAGTTTTTTTTCCTCAGATCCTCCGGGTCAAATGTTGCCATTTCTTAACGCTAATGGTGAGGTCTCTGGGATCTTTGGAAGTTTCCCATGGCACATCATGGGGCTTACGGAAAGAGATTAACCAGGTCTGGGATCCTTCTGAGGGTGGCTCTGCAGAAGGACAGAGACTCATGGGGCTGATTTCAGTCAGTGATTTGTATAATCACTACAAGTACTGCTGTCAAATAGCCCACAAAAGAAAAGAAGCTAAGGAAGGAAGGGAAAGGGAACAAAGCAATCACAATTGAGAAGAAGAAGGAAATTGTGGAGAAATATGAGTGGCTTTTGTGTAAACAATTTCACCAATATGCACAGCATGTCAAAATTCGCCATCTCCACAATCTTACAGAGAAAAGATCTGTATAAGGAAGCTAGTGTTGCTAAAAATGTCACTCTGGTTGGGGACTTAGTTCAGTGGTGCAGCGCCTACCTGTCAAGTGTGAGGCCCTGAGTTCAATTCCCCGTACCCCAACCCACCCCCAAAAAGGTGTTACATTAAGTCACAATCAAGAGTGTTAGACAAGGCAGAAGGCTATCGGTGTGGATAAATGAAAGGCAGATGGCCAGTTATATTGCCTGAGCCTATAATTTGTGAAAAAGCTGGGGCTAGCTATAAATGCAGATTTCACAAAGGATAATCCATTCATGAGTGATAATGGTGAAACCTTTTGTGTCAGTAAGGCGTGGTTTCACAATTTCAAAACGAGAACTGTGGTCTAGAGCATGTCTAGGCATGGTTGTGCGGCCAGTGCTGATACAAGGGTGGTTGAAAACTACACACACCACTTCAAAACGACAACACAGAAAAATGACTTTTGCTCTCATCAAGTTTTCAACTGTGATGAAACTGGCCTCTTCTGGAAGGGAATGCCCAGGAGAACATACAGTACATTATTCAGGAAGAGAAGAAAAATGCCAGGCCATAAGCCTGTGAAGGACAGGCTAGCCTTATTGCTAGATGCCAATGCAGGTGCCTCAGGATAAAGCCTCTCTTGGTTGATTGCCCTGAGACCCCAGGCCTCTTCAGAAAACATAAAGTCATGATGAATTGGCTCAGGGTCATGTGGAGATCTAACACAAAAGCCTGGGTAACAGGAGTACATTCTCTTGAGCAGATCAAGGAGGCTTTCTGTCCTGCTAAACACTATCTAGAGGACAGATGTTTACCATTCAAGGCTCTCCTTATCATGACAATGCTCCTGCTCACCCATGAGATCTGGAAGAGGAACTGGCTGAAGAATTCTCTCAGTCAAGTTCCTCCCACCTAATACAACTCCTGCACTGCAGCCTGTGGAGCAGCAGGTTATACTGAGTTTTCAGAAGCGATCCACCAAGAAGCTGCTCCTGCAGTGCTTGCAGGTGGTCTCAGATACAGGTGTAACCTTTAAAGAGTTCTGGAAGGAAAATTACATCCTTTCCGGTGTGGGTTAGTTGAGAAATCCTGGGCCACTGTTTATCTAAGGACCCTGACATCCACCTGGAACCACATGTAGCCTAAAATTACACAGGAGAGACTCTGAAGGGTACACAGAGGAGCCTCAGCCTTCCAGTGACCCTGTGCTAGACCACACTGTCATGACAGCAGAGCCTGCAGGCTTGCTGGTGGACAGTGGTCGAGTCCAGGAACTGGTGGAGGAACACTTGGGGAACTGCCTATGGAGGAACTGCACCAACTTCTGGCTGCCAGCAGAGAATGGCAGTGAGGAGCTTTCTGAACGGGTGGGTGGGGGGCATCAACAACCAGTTCGGCAAAGTTCTTCTTCTAAAATAAGGGAAATCCTGAAAAAATGCACAGAGTTTTAAACATTTGTAGAGACGGCCCACCAGACAGAGAAAAAGCCAATCGCTTATTTACTTGTTAATGACAAGGTCATTTCACACTCCAGACCAAAAAGGAAAGAAAGACACAGGCCAGTTTTTAGCTCTGAAAAGGCTGAGACCTAATGAGCCAGAAGCAAGGCCTAGTGGGCTGCAGACTCTCCCAAGAGAGAAAAGACACCCGAGAACACATTCCTGATGCTGTGGAGGAACTCTGCTTCCAAACAATGCCCACCTCCCACTTCATCCTCCCTTTCCACCAGCCAAAGATGTCAACTTGAAGGTGAGTGAAAGGGTTGTGGCCCAGACAGGACTCTGTAGTCAGGAAAGCCTCAACCTAAAGCAGGAGCCCCTATCTCCCCCACCTCTAGGAATTTACCTGTGATGTCATCTTCCCGACCCTGGAAATTTACCTATGGCACCAAACCTAGGACCAAAGAGCTACCTGTGCATCCCTAATGCCCCCCTTAGGTTCCACCCCACAACGAGGCTGCTTATGTGCCTCACTGCACGTGTTCCGCAGGAGCGATTGCCGGACGCCAGTGGTGGGAGGTGCTGGTCATCTCTCTCCATATCCTCAGAAAAAAGGCCGCCTTTTGTTTTATACTTCTCATCTTTTGGAAAGATTTTTCAGTGAGTACAGTATGAAACTGTTGTTTCTGGTAAACTAGGCACATTTTATATCTTCCCAGTGGATACACTGGGAAAACAGTTGGTGTTTCTGGTACATTATGCACATTATACAACCATTTTTATTATGAAAGGGTTGTTAAGGGGTGCTTTGGGAGGTTCAGAATGCAATATGGGTATTTCCATTCTTTCTCATGGGAAAAATAATCTTGACTTACAAACAGTTTGAGTTACAACCAGCCCTCAGAATGAACGAGTTTGTAAGTCAAGGGTCCACTGCTTGTGGAAACAGGATCCTTTCCATTTATGCTGATAATTAAAGACTGTGCTGATCAGTTTGTTAAGGCAGTAGAGGTAGAAGCTTATTTTTTCAGCATTAAAAAAATGCTTGGAAAGTTCCAAGTACAAACCTGGGTCTGTTATCTGCTGACTAAAATATGGCAGCTCTATTCCCACAGGCTTACCAAGGGGGTGACATTCGGAGCCCTCCCTTTTTCCACCCAGGCCCCAAGGCACGTGTTTCTAGATTACCTGAGTTTTCTCTCAGCAGAACTGATAGGATTATTTCCAAAAGATGAGAAGTATAAAACAAAAGAGGCCTTTATTCTGACAACAAGGAGAGAGAGAATCAGCACCCCTGACTGCTGCAGTCTGGCTTTCTGTCTGCGTGTGCAGTAATAGAAAACAGCTCACCTAAGCGTGATCTGGGCCATGCGTGAGACACTGTGATGAAGAAGGGCTGTTGGCCAACTGGGAAATTGGCTCAGCTCACTCCCTAAGTTCAGAGACTCCACATACGCGACAAGAACGTGAGCCTGACTGTATCCTCTTTCCGGAAGTTTCTACAGGGCACCTGGAAGTTGGTTTAGACTATGGAGAGTAGATCCAGAGTATCTGTGATGATCCTTTGTGATTGCTCCGCCAGTTCTGTTAACGGGTTTCCATTATTTGTGCCCTTCCTTTTCAGCTGGTTGCAGTGTTACCTGAGAATCTCCAGCCCGGGCCTGGAGACTTTTATGGGCTCCCCTGGGAGCCTGTATTGCTCACTACCTGTGTTGGAATCCTTGTGCTTGCGATTTTCTTGTGGAGGAATGTTTTTCCAGTGAGTGAATTAACTTGTTCTTTGACTTCTGAATATATTGAGGATTCTATTATCATTGGCCCTTTCAGTTACAAACATAAACAAATCAGTGGTTATAATTCAAGTTAGTTTTCTGAAATAATTTAATCTTGGTACTAGCAAAGATTTAAGAGCAAAGCTAACCATATCCACTTGTTAGTAGAATTGGTGACTCGTAAAGCCATCCTGAAAAGCAGTTTAATAATTCTATATATCATAAGCCTTTAAAATGGGATACAAAACAGGATAAGAAATATAAATTGCTTTTATATGGTATGATAACATCAGTAAGTGATCTTAAAGAAATACATTACATGTTAAGATTTTATACAAAGGTATTAGATGTAGTATTTAATAGAGTAATAACTTGGTGAAACCTAAATGATCTATATTAGGGAATATCATGTTTCACCTTATTTATATCCACAGAACAGAATATTAGGCTGCTGTATGTATTTCAAAGGCAGGGGGCAAAGAAGGTGTTCACGATTTAATGTGAAGTGGGAAAAGGGGAAACAGACCGTGAGGTACTGATGAACTGTGCTGTAGAAACATACAGGGCAAGAAATACAGTAAGATGGTAGAAACGTCCAGGCAAGATCAGGCAGAGTGGTGTGTGCATTCCTGCAGCCCTGGAGGAGAGGGAGGCTGAGACAGGAGAAGTGCAAGTTTGAGCCCAGCCTGGGCAACTTGGTCACTTAGCAAGAGCCTGTCTCAAGAAAAATGGGAAGGCTGAGAATGTAGTTCATTGTGAAGGCCCTGTCCCAGGTACCACCAAAAACAAGCCCAAAACAGCACCCTATGAAAGATTCCTGTGAGGACTTCTGGAATCTCACCGAACAGCTTCTTGGATGAAAGCACGCCTGGAAGGGTACGCAGAGTGTTTGGGGGTGAAAAGGTGCTGTTTCCCCTGCTCCTCTCCTTTGGTTCCCCTGCAGCTGCTACCCAGCAGGGCTCTCAGGCTCAGCCCTGCAGCTTCACACCCTGCCCCTGGGCTCACTTCCTCCCACTCCCTGAGGTCACATGGCTCTGAGGGGACACTCCTGATCCTGGAGAGCACAGTCGCCCTCCCCCCACATTCCCCTCAGCTGGCCACTGCGCTCTGCTGTCCTATACTGTTTATAGCACTCGGAAGGAGAAGACAGAGTCTGCGTTACAGAGAAGTGCAGTGATCGCTGCTGTGGTATTTAATTAGTTGCAGTTTAGGATTTATGACCCCAGAAGGCACTGGGAGGAAGAACTGGGTCTGTGCTCTTCCTGGAAGCCTTTAGCTGTCATTTCTCTGTGTTCTTCTGGTGTCTTCCCTTCTGCTTAGATTTATTACTGTTTTTGTGGTCTGGGGAAATCAGATGATGAGGTGTATTAGATTATTTCTTAATTGAGTCAACAGATCACTTGAAATAGGGTTTCTGAGGTATCTTCCAGTGGGTGAGAGAGGCGTATCTTAGTGCAAAGGTTATGCTGGTAATCTCGCTCACAAGTCTTCCATATGGTCACCCATTTCTAGACTGCATGCTTGCCTTTGGGATTGTCAAGTAATTTTGAGTAAGTAAATCAATAATGTGTGTATTATAAAAACAAGCATTTCACTGTTGAAGCCAAATGCTCATCTCAGAAGCCTGGTGTTCACTTGGTCCTGGCACACAAGCCCGTGTGTAGCTGTGAAGTAAGACACGCTCCTTACTGTTCCTCTGTATCAGAGGCTATTTATAATACATTTTTAATTGTATGGGTTTATTCTGAACTAAAGTTACTAAATTTTCACTTGGTTATGATCCTGACTTGTGTTAGGAACTATGCATTCCTTTTAATCAAATGTTTGACATCTAATTTCTCTCTTTCTCTTCTAGGTAAAGGAGAGAATATACCAAGGTAAATCTCTTCCTGTTGGTGTTTGGGAGGACTTTTAGGCAGGCTAGGAGCGACAGTGACTTTGGTGTCTGATTTGACTCACTAACTGCTCCACATTTTACTGTTGCTACTAACCATGGTATAGTGGGGAGGGTGATGGTACCGGCTGAGCTAGGAGATGTGGGGGCAGGGGTGACTGCTTACTTGGAGCAGACAGAGCGTGGCTGGACCACACAGGTGTGGAGAGAGGACAGTGTGTCTGTGCTAGGGACACCTCGGCCCCTATAGGTTTATCGGCACAGGAGCTCGAGACAGCAGTGCAGATCTGTAGCCTAAAGTTTCTTTTTCTCGTAGCAAATGACATTCATTTGAAGTGATCCGTTTTCAGAGAACAAGTGCCTTTTGTGAAAGGAGCCTCTCCAACTGTGTGACATTTTACTGTATCTCCTGCCTTTGCAGTAATTGATATCTCCTCAAAACAAGTGTTACTATAGTTTTCTTAAAGTTTAACAGTGTCCTGTGCACTGCTGCTGTTAGCTTCGGGTCTCTCTGGACAGGCAGGTAGCTGTGCTAAGCCCTGTCTCTCACAGAGCCTCACAGGTGTCCTTGCTGCTGAGACACTGTGCAGCTCAGTTCCATTTAATGCTCCTAATAACCTGGCTATTTCCTCTTTTTAGTCACTGAACAGCAGACTGCCGAAAAGGTGAAGACTACCACAAAGGACAATGCACAACTTGCAGAAAAATTGTCAAGTTATGAACAGAAGGTAGAACCTCTCACGGGCCCTCCTCTAGCGCGTCTGTGGTGTAGCTCAGTTATTACGGTATTTTGAAGGCCTGTGTTCTCGCTTCATCATTTCCTCTGAGCCCTCCAGATCTTATGCACCATCATGTGTAAAAGGAACGCTCTGCTTGCTTCTTTGGAACAAGGTTTTACTAGCACAGTGACTTCTGTTACTTAGTTCTGAATGTGTTTTTTACATAGATCAATGAATCGCAGAGGCTTCTTCAGGAGACCAAGAATCAGAATAGGATTCTCTCTGAGGAAGCAATTAAATACAAGGTAAAAGTCCTTCTCTTTGGGGGATTATAGTCTAAAAACAAAAGCAAGCATTAATGCATACTGTTACTTTTAATCTCTTTTCTTCTGGATAAAATAAAAGTGCTTGAAGGAAGCAAGGAATTTCTGGATGATACGGCCCGAACTCTTGGTGATATGTTAGAATGTGAGCGGAAATGCAACATGAAAAATCAGGATTTGGTGAGTTTTGCTGCTGCATGTTACTACAGGTGTATTATTAGGTATTTGGTAAATCAGTTGAGCTGTTCCCATGCTGTTAACTCCATGAGACTAGGAATAACAGAACTGAACATGCCTGTACCCATTTTGTGGGATTTTTAGTACTGATTCAGTAGAATGTTTTTATAGGCACGGGAAGTGTTTTGATCCTGAATCTTGGATAATTTCATAGTTGTGTCCTCCAGAACACACAGTCACTCAAAAATTGGTCCAGTTGAGTAGTCTGTGTAAACTGGTTTTATTTCACAGTGAACTCTGTGCCTTTCGAATAGTCTGCAAATCCCCTAAGCGGAAATGTAGTGAGGAGAGTTCTCATGCTTCCCACCTCCTGTGTGGCCTGGTCCTTTGCTCAGCACACACCTGGTGAATTGCCCATTTTCAGTATTTTGTGCACCATGCTGTTTGGCAGGAAGTTATGACATACAACCTGCAGTTAAAAGAACGGTGGGTTAGGGTCACCCCTTGAGCCAGTATTGTCATAAATATTGAGAAATTTGGCACATGAGATTTTTCTATTCCCCCAGAAACACTTTTTTTTCTATTGTTTTATTTTGGTTTTGTCTTTTTGAGACTGGGTTCTGTTATGCAGTTCAGGCTGGCTGTGAACTCACCTTGTAGCCTAGGCTGGCCTTAAACTCTCCTGCCTCAGCTTCCTGAGTGCTGGGATTACAGGCGTCCTCCACCATACCCAGCATTCTTACCATTTTTAATTCAGACAAGAACATGTTTAAAGTGATCTTGGAGCTGTTTTTTTTTTTTTTTTTTTTTTTTTTTTTTTTTGGTGCCAGGGATCGAACTCATGACCCAGTGCTTGGCGGGCAGGCATTTAATGCTGCTGAGCTAAATCTCCAGACCTTTTGGGGCTTGTTTTCCTGACACCAGAAAAAGCTGTTCATTTTCCATGGTGTGCTTGGACATTTCTTTATGCTATATGTAGTAACATAACCCCAAAGCTTGAGGGTGCCATGAAACTCTTGACTTCAGTTTTTTCTCTCAGCTCTTTAAGCAGATTTTTTCCCCAGACCACGTTTAATCCCGATTTTACCTAAAACATAGTGGATAGTTTGGGGTACCTTGTAGTAATGTTTTTGTTCTTTAGCATACGTATCAGTGTTTCTCCCACAGTCCTAATGCGTTCTGTGTGTTCCTTGCTTCCTTGGCAGGTCCTGGAAAATGAGAAATCTGTAGGGAAGCTAAAGGAGGTTATTTCAATGAATGCCTCAGAATTTTCCAAGGTAAGGCTGCCCACACTCCCTGCCGGTGTCAGTGTCGAGACTCAGCTGCATGGAGCAGTGGTGACCTGATGAGTGCTGAGAGCCATGGAAGGCAGAGGCGGTGCATGATTGAGGGGCAGGGCTGGGGCCCCTCCCTGGCGTGGCTCATGAACAGTCGTGTTGTGCGTTAGGTTCAGGTCGCCCTGAATGAAGGCAAGTTGAGTGAGGAGAAAGTGAAGTCTGAGTGCCACCAGGTTCAGGAAGAAAACACAAGGCTGAAGAAGAAGAAAAAAGTGCAGATTTTGTAAATGTTTGGTCAGAGTGGGTGCAAACCCCGGCGACTTTAGCTCTGTCATCTTTTCTCATGAGGAGCTGCTTATGCAGGCCCCTGCAGCAAGCTGGGGAGCATCGAGTCTGTCCTCCCCAGCTTGCACATTACTGAGGGCACAGGCTCCTTTTGTGTTTCTCGTGGATTTTCAATTCTGTAAATTGATGGCAGTTCTTGGCCCTTGTCTTGTTAGATACTAGTCATTACTTTGGCCTCAGCAAGGCCAGGGGTTGGCTTTTTAAACCTCAGATTTAAGGCTTTGCTAAGCCTCCTCTAACAGTTACTGCCTCACATTGGCCATAGGAAGGTTAGATCAGGGATCTGTGATCAACACACACACACTGAGGCCAGAAATCCCACAGCTAGCTGCCGGCAGTTCCCATGTGAATGGGTTATGTTCCTGCTAGGGGGATACACAGGATAGTCCCATTAGGTGGTAAGGACAGTCCTGCATGCCCTGCAGCGGTTCATGCCAGTGGGAATATGTTAAGCCCCAGCAATACATGCCCACGGGTGCCACCTGGAAGTCAGGCATTTGAGTCAGCAGGCATTTTTCGGAATGACTTGATGGATGGGGTCAGCTTCGTTGACAGCTCAGGGTGGAAGTCACACTCTGCAGTCCCGAACCAAGTCTTAGCCTCTGCGATGGGAAAAGGAGGGACAGGACTCCTGCTTCCCCATCCCACTTGCATGGTCCTGTGCCTCTGTGGAATCCCCAGTCCGCAGGGACCCTTCCATATGACTTTCAGCTACAGCAGGAAGTTGAAGACCAGAAGAAGCTGAACGCTAAACTCAGCCAGCGAATCAGGTCGTTGGAAAAGTCTCAGAGGGATCTGGAAGCCACTCTCCATGATAAGGATGATAGCATTGGTGTAAGTTACCCCAGCCGGCCCAGCCTGATCATGAACACTTGGAAAACAACCCACTGTGAGGATGGAGAGGCTGTTAACTGCTGCTCCCTTCTCTGCTAGGCTCTGAACAACTGCATCATGCAGCTGAACCGGTTGGAGGAGAGGGGATCAGAATCTGAGGGTCGAGGTCCAGGCAGATGTGAGCCAGGTGAATTAGCCAAAGGAGAAGTGGGAGGTAAGACCGGCCCTAGCCCAAGGGCCCCTTTTTTTTTTAACCAGGGATCTAACTCATGACCATGCACTCACCAGGCAGGTGCTTGTGCCACTGAGCTAAATCCCCAGCCCTTCAAGGGCCCTTTTTTGTCTTCTTCTCTTTATTGTTATTTTAGACAAGGTCCCTATGTAGTGGTTGGCCTTGATCTCACTGTGTAGTCCACACTGGCCTCAAACCCACAGCAAAATTTCTACCTCAGTCTCCTAAGTATTTTTGTCTTTAAATCCATACATGGATACTGCTTCTCAGCTGAGTTTCTTCTTGCCCTGACTGACCCATGAAGCTCTTTAGGTTCTTAGTGTGAAGGACGACAAGAGGATGAGAAAATAGACAGACCAATCTGGGGTCAGGTGGAGCCCATACCCTCCTCATGGGAAGAAAGGAACTGGCCCCTCACTGCAGGGGCATTTATACGTTTTAGCATCTTAATGTCATGTGACACCCTGTTGTCCTAGCAGCCCAATGTTCAGATTGTCTTGGGGCTTGGTGATCTCTGGGCTGAGGCAGCTTCTTCACATGGCAACCCCAGGGACTCTTTGTTCTTGGGCCAGCCATGCCCTGGCCCTGCATGTGTGGTCGGTTTGCAGCTTCAATGGCTCCCAACATCTGAATAATTCGTACTTATGTCTGGGTCACTGGGGTGCAGTAGCAGCAGGCAAGCGGGGAAAGCTGCTTTTCCACCCCTAAGAACTGGATGTGTACGCTGGAGTCTTTGCCTTTGTGTCGGCCTCTGTGCCAGAGAAGAAACTCACTCAGCTTTCTGGAGATGACACAGGGGTCCGTACTCACGGCCTCTGCTGTTCTGTGGTTCTCAGGCACGTGGCCAGGGTCACCTAGAGTGTGGGGATGGGGAGCCACAGCCCAGGCTGTGAGGGCAGAGGCTGGAGAGCAGCAGGGTCTGAGATGAGAAAAGTGGTCAGGGTGCCACCCCAGCTGCAGAGGGTGCTCAGGGTGCGAGTCTGGCCCCACGCCGGCCAGCTCCCCCTAGACCATGTGGCATGCTGTCTTGGCAGGAGCTCACAAAATCTAAGGGTGCAGTTGTCCTGAAAGTCAGTGTGTCAGTTCTGTTGGTGAATTGTTTTTCTTTACAGTGTGTCATGAGCATTAGTTTAGTTTTGTGGAAGTCAAGACAACAGTGTTAGAAACGGCACAGGAAGGCACAGCCACACTTGTTCTCTTTGTAGGTGGGGAAAATAAGAAGGCTCACATGCACCAGCTGATGGATGTCTCCCGGGTGAGTCCCTTCACAGAGACCCCAGGGCCCTTGAGTCCTGACTCAGCCTTACTTTCAAGCCTGTGCCTCTCCCTCACAATTTTCAGACACATCCCGCAATATCCGTATTTCAGAAAGATCTCCAACTCCTGGAGTTGAAGCTGAGAGCCTCCCTGTCTGCCAAATGTGATCTGGAAGGTAGGTCCCTGACCGCATGGTGGTCAGGCTGAGTGCCAGCATGAATGAGGCAGGGATGCTGGGAGCCTGGTTCTGTGTCTTTGGCGGTGCCCTTGGTGACGTGTCTCACCTCCCAGACCAGATCGTGAAGCTAGGTGAGGACTGCGGCAGGCTGCAGGCGGACAAGGCCCGGCTGGAGGAGGAGTTTAGCATGCTGCAGCAGAAGGTGGAGGTCCTGAAGGAGCTGTCCCACCAGAAGGAGCTGGAGCTGCAGAAGTGAGTCCCAGAGATTTTGCCCAGTGTCTTATGCTGGCCATTCCTGTCACTTCTGATTGCCTAGCAGCTTTGATGTGCAGTGATCATAGAGGAAACTTGGGGCCCAGGGTGCTTCTGGTTTCCTGTGATGGCGACCTGAGGCTGCTCCTGCCTGTCCGCCGTCACCTTCATCCAGCTAGCAGTTGGGCCCAGTGTCCCTGCCTCTGTAGCCTCAGCTCCACTGCTTGTTTCTTAAAGCCTAGGGATTTGTCGAGGGCTCAGTTCAGCATCTTTGGCATTGTGCTCAATGTGTGGGTTGAGGGAGGGCAGCACTGGCCTCTGGGGCCCACATTTCACTTCTGGCTGGGGCCAAGGCTCCCGTCCTCCCATTCGGCCTATCTTGTGTGCTTATCATGGCCTAGGTGTAGAGGAACAGCTCTTCCCTGACAGTATGGGGGAAGGGGGGGAGGTGGACTCCGCCTATTGCTTTCCCAGCAGCTCTGCTGGACAATCCTGGCTTCCCTCTGGGTACACTCATCTGCCACACAGGCAGCTAGAGCCTGGCACATGCTGTGCTCTTAGCTTGTTCTGTTTGCCAATTAGACAATTACAAGGAGAGGTGAGAGAATTTAAGAACACAAGCAAATGGCCCAGAGCCTGGAGCTTGACTGCCCTCCTGAAACCCTGTGCCTGCTGCTGGGTGGGGAAGTGGCCTGTGGGCTGAGTTCAGCCCTGGCAGCTGCCTTTCTCCTAGGATACTGAGTCAGGCGGAATGTGCACAGCAGCAGCGAGAGCAGGCGCTGAGGGCTGTGGATGAGAAGGTGGTGCCGGCCACAGAGGAGGTGAAAATCTACAAGTGAGTGTGGCGTCCGAGAAAGAGGAACTGGGCTGAGTTGCTTTGTTACATAGAAGAGATGGGCACAGAAGCACATGAGAAGCCCAAGAATGGAATGTATTTAACTCACACGGGGAGGGGTTCTACATTAACAGACCAAGGCTTGTTAACAGCGAAGCTCCTTTGCAGATGTGTCCTGTGCCCATTTTTAGGAAGTCGGCCTGCTTCTGTCACACGTCTACACCCACCAGAGTCTCAGTGCTCCGACAGACCGGGGGCAGCATTTTGAGTCATTTCTTGTGGCTATAATTTGAGGGGAAAACCTTTTTTTTTTTATCTGTACCGGGGATCAAACTTACGACCGCCAGCTTGCAAGGCAGGTGCTTATGCCTCTGAGCTAAATCCCCAGTCCCTGAGGGGAAAACCTTTATGGGGAAGGTAGCCTTAGCCAGATTATTTTGAGATTGTTATTCAAGGACAGTTAAGGAAATTGACAAGTTGTCAACTCATAATCTCTAGGTATTAAATGAAAAATCAGGAAACTGAGGTTCACACTGCACTCATCACGTTATGAAATGTTTCTGTATGATGAAGTCTTTAAAGGTCAGACATGGTCAGACTGTTTCAGAATTTATTTGATTCTAACTGCTAAGTATTATTTTTAGGCGGCGAATCCGTGAGGTGGAAGCAGAATTAGAGAAAACGGAGCGCTCATTTAAAAACCAGGCAAGGAATAGAGTGCGCTGTGGTGACAGCATCCGTTAATCCCCCACACAGGAGTCATGGAGGGCTGCAGCCCGGTGACTGGTCCCTCAACCTGAGTCTTGCCGTGTTCTCTTGCAGCTTGCTACGGAGAAGAAAAAAGCCCATGAGAACTGGGTAAGAGCCTCCTCCTCGCCTTGCCTCGCATCGCCCTCTCCAGCTTCATTCAGCCACTGTGCTGAGCTGGCCTCTCTGTCTCCACAGCTCAAAGCTCGAAATGCAGAGCGCCTGGTGGCAGATGAGAAGCGGCAGGCCGCCAACCTGAGGCAGAGGTTAGCAGCGCGTGGCGCGATGCGATGCGTGGCGCCCACGTTTTAGACCACTCAGTGTGGCTATGGTCACCCCCAGCCCTACTGTGTCTGTGTGCAGGCTGATGGAAATTACCCAGAAGCTGGATATGCTTAAAGAGGAGCCTGGGATCATTAAGTGGATGCCAGACAGTCCTGGAGTGCAGAACGTGCCCCACAGAGGTGGGCACTCTGTCCTTCTGAGTGGGACTCGGGGAACTTAACCACTGCAGAGAAGTGGTAACCAGCGCATGTGTTGTCTCCTCAGGTCCCCTGAGCCAGAAGGGCTCCTTTGGGCAGTCCCCTGTGAATGGCGGTGAGTGCTCCCCGCCCCCAGGCACAGAGCCCCCTGGATGGCCGCCATCTGCGAGCCTGAACTTGGCACGCTGTGACATTGTGAGAGCCGACTTGGGTGAGCCTCTCCAGGGCCTCTAGTCCCGGACTCAGGGACACCATGCTGCCTTGCCCCGGGCATGGTTCCCTGAGCTCTGGTACAGAGCCTGGGCACTCCCGGCTCGGGTTTCCACTTAGCCCTGGGCCCTGTGCAGGCCCACCTGGATTGCAGTGCAGGAGCACGGTCCTGGGAGCAGTCGCCCACCCCGTCACTCCCAACCCTCTCTGGCTGTGGCATGGCAGAGGCCACAGTGTCGCCCTCTTAGTCTCTGCACAGTGTTCAATGAGTGGGCGCACTTTCGTCACCACTCACCTCTGGGCCACCAGGGACGGCTCCTGAGCTAGGCAGGTCCGCGTGTTACTGGTTCTGTGTGCTGCTCCCAAATCATATGGCCACTGTGTGTGGGCTCAGTCTTCTGTGGCCCTGTCTTCGTCCTCCACAGCCTGAGACTTAATGCAGCCTCTGCCTCTGGCTTGGGTTGCCACAGCGCAGCTTTCCCAGCTCCCCAGGTCAGCGAAGTGCTGACCAGGTGGAGCCCGCCCAGGCTGAGGCCTCCTTCGACCCCCCCCTACCCCCACCCCCACCCCCACTTGACGCCTGCTCAGTGAGCCTGGTACCTCTGGCTCCACTCGAGGGCTCCCTGGCCTCCTGCCTCCCACGGGCCTTGCAGCTGCTTGTCAGAGGCAGCCATGCCTCTGCTCCCTCCAGGGACAGTCCGCAGGGCTCTGCAGTGTTCCCAAGGGCACTTCCGAGGGCATGCCCGAGGCCTCTTCCGTCCTCGTCCTTATCCTCGTCCTCGTCCCCGACCTCATCCCTGCCCTCGTCCTCATCCTCATCCTCGTCCCCGACCTCATCCCTGCCCTCGTCCCAGTCCTCGTCCTCGTCCTGGGAAAGTCCTCTGAGTGCCTTCTCTGCCCCCAGATCCCGGCCTTGGCCCCGTGGCCAACAGCAGCTCCCGTGGCTCCTGCCCAGAGAAGGACATGGACAACGCCAAGGTGAACCTGGAGCCCGTGCCTTGGCCCCCGCTGCTCCATGGGTCCTCGGTTTCCCTCTGTTCTCCAGCTGGCCTGGGCGTGGCGACCCCGCTGGCTAGGTCACCATCTGACTGGGGCCTTCACTAAGGCTGGGGCCACGTGCTGAGTGCTGGAGCACAGCACACCTCATGCCCCTGCCTTGAGTGTTTGGTTTGGTACTTATTTTGAGTCAAGGTTTCCTTATGCAGCTCAAGCTGGACTTGACCTCACAGTACCCAGAGCCCACCTGCAGTTCCCTAGCAGTCCTCCCCCCTCAGCCTCCCGAGTGCGGGATGACCGGTGTGCATCGCCACACTCGCGTGCGCTTGATTTTTGGGAGCAGCTGTTGGGGTCCTCAGGCTCTGTGCTAGGCAGACCCCTTGCAATGATCCGGATGAGGTGGGCGTGGGCTCTTGTGGGAGTGGGAAGCCGGTTCCAGGGCCCCCTGAATCCGACCCCGGGTGGCCCAGGCTGCTGTGCCTCCTGGGTCCTGAGGCTGCTGCCTTGGCAGCCTTCGCACCGCATGGGGCCACCTGCAATGGTCAGAGCTCCATGGACTGCCTTCCAAGCAGCCCAGGCCCAGGCGCCTCCGCCAGCCCCTCCCTGTGCAGTGTCAACTGGCCGAGGCAGCTTCCTGTTCTCCCCAGATACCCCGGGACCCTGGGAGCCCTTGTGTCGCCCCTGTCGTGCCCAGGACAATGCTCAGGCTGGCTGAGTACAGTGAGCTGGCGCAGCGCTCCGCTGGCACCTCTGGAGCTCATCTCCACACGCGAGTGGGGACAGCATGGTGACCATGCTCGCTGCGTGGTGTGCTACTCACGAGGGCCTAGCAGGGTCTGGGGATCCCTTGACTCCTCTCGGGATGGGCACCCGGTGCCACTGCCGAGCTCGAAACTGGGCCTGCTTCTGTTCGCAGGTGAGCATGGCAGTGAAGGGGCCCCCAGCCCATCCAGGTCCCCCATTCCTGGGAGGCCCCATGCCGCCCCACATGGGCTATGGGTCGCCGCCGCCATCACCGCTCTGCAGGCCCTTCGGGCCTCGGCCAATGTCTCCTAGGCAACCGCCACCATTCGGTACAGTAGGACACTTGGGCTGGCACCACCGCCTACCCTGTCCTCTCTCCTCTCCTGTCCTGATTGGCAGCTGCAGCCCGCCTGACTCGAAGCACGAAGCCCAGCACTCTGAGCCCAGTGCAGCCTCCACAGCTGCTTGGACCAGAAGGGCCTTTTCTGCAGAGCCGAAGCCAGTCTCAGCGGGGTGGTCACCTGGGATGCCACAGGCCGCCGGCAGTGGGAGAAGGGAGGGTCAGGCTGTGGTTGAGCCTTACTGAGCCTCAGTTTTCCTTATCTGTGAAGTCCAGTGCATCACTCCACTTCCTGGCGCAGGGGAAGGGAAAGCCTTTCAGCAGACCTGGGCTGCTCCTCAGGACGTGTCCGCATGTCCCTCTTGCTTTCCAGTCGCACGCATGGGCCCACCACTGGGCTTAAGAGGCTATGCGCCCGGCATGCTGCCCGGACGCCCCGACCTGCCTCTACATCCCAGCGAGTTCTTGCCGGGACCTGTGCCATTCAGGCCTCCAGGCCCGCTCGGTGCCCAAGCGTATTTCATTTCGGATCCGCGAATGCCACCACCACCGGCTGGACTCCAAGACTACCGACCACCGCCTGCCGGGCCCCAGGACAACCCACCGCTGCCTCCCGGGCCCCAGAACAACCCACCGATGCCTGCCAGGCCCCATGACTATGCACTGCCGCCTGCCAGGCCCCAAGACTATCCTCCGCTGTATGGAGGCCCCAGGACTACCCTCCGCCGTCTGCCAGGCCCCATGACTATGCACCGCCACCTGCCAGGCCCCAGGAAGACCCAGCACCATGTTCCAGGCCCCAGGAATACCCACCGCTGCCTGCCAGGCCCCATGACTACAAACTGCCGCCTGCCAGGCCCCAGGACTACCCAGCACCAAGTTCCGGGCCCCAGGAATACCCACCGCCGCCTGCCAGGCCCCATGACTACGCACCGCCGCCTGCCGGGCCCCAGGACTAGCCCCCCCCCCCCCGCCTGCCAGGTCCCAGGACCACCCATCACCACGTTCCGGGCCGCAGTATTATGCACTGCCGGCTGCCAGGCCCCATGACTATTCACTGCCACCTGACGGGCCCCAGGACTATCCTCCGCCACCTGCCAGGCCCCAGGACTACCCACCACCACGTGCCGAGCCTCAGGACTGTGCACCGCCGCCTGCTAGGTCCCAGGAGTACCAACTGCCATGAGTTGAGCCCCAGGACAACCCACAACCATGTGCCAGGCCCCAAGAATACCCACCACCATGTGCCGGGCCCCAGGACAACCCACAACCATATGCCAGGCCCCAAGAATACCCACCACCACGTGCCGGGCCCCAGGACTACCCACCAACACATGCTGGGCCCCAGGACTACCCACCACCACATTCCTGGTCCCAGGACTACCCACCACTACCAGCCATGTCTCAGGAATGCCAGCCACCATGTACCGGGCCCCAGGACTACCCACCACCACCAGCTGGGCCTCAGGAATGCCAACCACCATGTGCCAGGCCCCAGGACTACCTTCCGCCTCCTACCAGGCACCAACATTAACCACTGCCGCCTGCCGGGCCCCAGGACTACCCACCACCGCCTGCCGGGCCCCAGGACTGCCCACCACCACCTGCTGGGACCCAGGACGACCCACCACCACCTTCCAGGCCCAAGGATTACCCACAACCATCTGCTGGGACCCAGGACGACCCACCACCACCTGCCAGGCCCAAGGATTACCCACAACC